CATGGTTAAAATGGTACTCAAAAGCTTCAAGTCCAAAAGCAGTTGGCTACAAAAGACTAATGGAAAGAAAAAAAATCACAAGAAAATCGTCATAGGGATCCCTGGGTGGCGCAGCGGTTTGGCGCCTGCCTTTTGCCCAGGGCGCGATCCTGGAGGCCCGGGATCGAATCCCACGTCGGGCTCCCGGTGCATGGAGCCTGCTTCTCCCTCTGCCTGTGTCTCTGCCTCTCTCTCTCTCACTGTGTGCCTATCATAAATTAAAAAAAAAAAAATCGTCATAAAGGAAATGATGAAATAGATCTCCTGGTCCCATCTCAAGTCCAATTCCAGCTTACCACATATGTCAGACAAGCCATGAAACTTCTTCAGGCAATTCAGAGTTAGGAAACAGGCTTTAAATGCTGGCTTCTGTGTAACCCTGGGTAAGTTACTTAATCTTTCTGGGCCTTTCAACTTTCATATCTTCAAAATGGAGATATAATTCTATCTGCCCTATGGGGCTGTTGAAGGTAATAAAAGGAAAGCATAGTTAGGTGCTCTATACAGAAGAGTTAGCTGCACCTGGGCAGTATTTTGAAATTAGTGAATCTAGGTGATGAATATATAGGGATCATTACACTATTACCTTTAATTTTGTGTTTTTTTAAATTTTTCAAAATGTCTGAACTTAGTTATTTTCTTAATGTTCTTCATAGAGGCATACCTCGGAGATATTGTGGGTTCAACTCCAGAGCATTACAATAAAGCAAATCAAATTAATTTTTTGGCTTCCCAATGTATATAATAGTTATGTTTAAAATTAAAAAAAAAACTGGGGTGCTTGGGTGGCTCATTCGGTTAAGCATCCAACTCTTGGTTTAGGCTCAGGTCACGATCTTGCAGTTGGACTAAAATCCCTCCACTTTGGGCTCCACGGGGAGTCAGCTTCAGATTCCCAATCCCTCTGCCCCTCCCCCACTTGCGCTCTCTCATGGACAAGTTCTCTCTCAAATAAATAAATAAAATCTTTTTTAAATATTTAAAAATAAAATTTAAAAAAAGAAAACTAAAAGTTATGTTTACACTGTCCTATAGTCTATTAAGTGTGCAATAACACTGTATGTGTCTTAATTTTAAAATATTGCTAAAAAATGCTAACCATCACCAGAGCTTTCAGCAAATTGAAAACACTTTGCTGGTAGAAGGTCTTGTCTCAATGTTGATGGCTGCCAACTGCTCAGAGTGATGGCTATTAAAAAGCTGGGGTGCCCTCTCTTAAATAAAAAACAATTTCTTAAAAAAACACAATGGAATTTGCCACTCTTGATTGACTCTTCCTTTCACAAATGATTTCTTTCAAGCATGCCATGCTGTCTGATAGCATTTGATCCAGAGCAGAACTTCCTTCAAAACTGGAGTCTAGAAAAACAAACAAAACTGGAGTCGAGGGACACCTGGGTGGCTGGCTCAATGGCTGAGTGTCTGCCTTCAGCTCAGGTCATGATCCCAGAGTCCTAGGATTGAGTTCCGCATCAGACTCCCCATAGGGAGCCTACTTCTCCCCTCTACCTATGTCTCTGCCTCTCTCTGTGTGTCTCTCATGAATAAACAAATAAAAACTTTTTTTAAAAATAATAAAATTTTATCATGAGATTGCAGCAATTCAAATATAACAATAATGAAAATGTCTAAAATATTGCAAGCAGTATCAAAATGTGACACAGACACAATGTGAGCAAATGCTGTTGGAAAAAAGGTACCAATTGACCTGCTCAATGCACGAATGCCATAAACCTTCCATATGTAAAACAAAACCAGAAACAACCCCCCCCCACACACACACACATGGTTATTTGTGAAGTATAATACAGCAAGAGCAGTAAAACAAAGTATGCCTATATATAAAACACCAGAGAAATAAAGACCTCAAATAAGGTCTCTTTGGACTTTAAAATCCAATTATATATACCAGACTGGAAAGAGGGCTCAATTCCTAGGTGCAAATCAGGAGCAAGGCAAGACATTCCAGAAATAAATTGAGACTACCAATCATCTCTCAGAGTGATCACTGCATAACCGATGCCTTACACATAAATGTTCAATGACTGGATGTCAGACTAATTCCAAGCATTCATTACAAAGCACAAACCAAGATGGGACGAGCACTTCCAGATCCAAGCCCCAAGGATCTAAGACTGGTGTCTGGCCTAGGAAATAACCTGAATCTATCCATCTATCTATCTATCTATCTATCTTTCTTTCTTTCTTTCTTTCTTTCTCTTTTTTTTTTTTAATCTTTCTGTTCTTTGCAGAGGAGAGACCAGTAAAAGGCACAATGGTGAGAATTGATCCTGAGGGAAGCACATACCCAAAAAAATGTTATATAAGTTGAATGAATTCATACCACTAATGATTCTAAGGCTTTCTGAGGGAATTTTACATTCAAAAGATGGAAGAATAGGCATTCATAATTAACTCTATTTCCTGACTATTCAAATGAATGAGTGAAATGTCAGCAAAACTTAGAGATCTAGTATAAACCAGGAAAAAACACGACCAGACAAGTACACTTTCCACCAAGCTGGAATGGAATGTCTATTTGCATACACACAATATACAATATATAAAATTTTAAAGACAGTAGAAATAGTTCAGATGGACCAAAAACGGGGGCGGGGGGATTCCAGTACCTTGGAAAATGACATAATTTCATTTGAGAAAACATTGTAAGAGTCATGATCCATTTCTGAATGACCCCAGTGAAGTCACCTTCTGAAAAAGACAAATCACAACCTCTCTTCTCTACTTCCAAATTACCTTCAAAGCAGCACCTTCCTTTCCACTAAAGCAATGAAAAAGTAAAAGCAAATTTTAACAGATGTTTTGACTTTGACATCATTTAATATTATAATTCCTCAATATTACAAACATATAACTATATAGTAGACTGTTAAATTCATGGCCTATTGGCTTCTAAAACACACCTTTCCATGTGTAACCTACCAATAAAAGAGTTTTCTGAGTTCAAAAAGTACTATCACAAAGCAGTCCTCCTCAATCTACTAATTCGTGTGCTGTGTAACCTGCTTTGTTGGGACAGTATGACTGCTCCCCTTCCCGTATGGTGAAAGGAGGTTTCAAATTCTCTGACAGTTGGCTCCACGGACTGCTGGCCCAGATTTACTCACTTCCTAACAACCTCACGGGTAAAACAGGGCTGGGATGGAGACAGAGACAAGCAAGAGAGAGCTCTCAGAAAAAGAAAGCAATATCCCTGCATTTGTGGCCTTTCTATACCACTTTCTCTTCTTTTACCACACACTACACTTTGTTTCCAATAGTCTAACACTCTAAATCAGCTAAAATGCCTAACTTTACTATGGGAGAGGAAATGTACAGTTACAGGATACACAGAGCTGAGATCATGCAGTTATAGTCATAGCTAAATCCAAAAGTCCTTCCAGCTGCTCACTCAATCACTCCCCTAGAATCAAACTGCTAGTCGCTGGGTCCCTGGAGAAAGATGTCTTTGCCTATAATACAGTCTGGTTCCACTTCTGATGTTTGACTGCTGACGGTTTTTAAGACCTAGTCCTCCCTGCTTCCCTTTCTGCCCCACTTACGGACAAGCTGGTAAGGGCCCCCTCCTTTGACACAAGCAGGAATTTCAAACCACCCAAGCCCAGGCAGGCAAGGAAGACTTCTGCCAAGCTCATCTTCTCTACACAATAAAGCCAAGCCAATCTCTTTTCCCTGCCCTCAGACAACACTCTCAACCTACTCAACACCTGCCCCGTGCTCCTAAGATTCATTTTGTGAGTGGGAGTCTTCTCAGCCTCTCCTGGTATGCAGGTGGCCTTATCAGTTTTTCGACACATGAACCAAATTCTGGGTAGGGTCCCTCTGACCTCTGCAGAGTGGCAACAACATTTCCCCCAAATAAATGATACTGATACTCCTGATACTCCTGACTTCAAGTCTGCTCTAAGGTAGCCACTTAGCACACCAACTCCTCCAGTGTCTAATTAAAACAAGCAAGCATCCACTAGGAAGCAGGAGGCCTGAGGACTGGTACCCATTCCACCACTGACTAACCACATGCCTTTAGATTAACATTTCTGAGTCTCATTTTCCACACCTATAAAACAAGTATAGTAAGATCATCTCCTTGTCTAACTAGTATGATCATGGTGGGACCCAAAGGGTCAGGATGTAGGACATCACACTGACAATCAATGCCTACACATACCATAGTTTCCTGAAGCGGGAGCCCATCTGTCTCAATACATCCTGCATTCCAGCTCTCTGCCCAGCACCCAGCTGTGCTCTTCCAGTTTCCTAGGGAGCTACGAGTTCACTAAAACAAAAACCAAAAAACCCTCCTAATAAGTCTCTCTCTCACAACACATACACAACTTAGCATAAGAAGCAACCAGAGGGATCCCTGGGTGGCGCAGCGATTTAGTGCCTGTTTGGCCCAGGGCGCGATCCTGGAGACCCGGGATCGAATCCCACGTAGGGCTCCCGGTGCATGGAGCCTGCTTCTCCCTCTGCCTGTGTCTCTGCCTCTCTCTCTCTCTCTCTCTCTCTCTCTCTCTCTCTGACTATCATAAATAAATAAAAATTTAAAAAAAAAAATTAAAAAAAAAAGAAGCAACCAGAGAGGACTCCAAGCAAGCCCTTCTAGGAAGTTAGGTTCCTAGGTTAGCATATGGATTAACACCAGACAAAATCTCTTTGTTTATACAGTAAAACACTGAAGATCACATATCTTATCACAGCCACCAAGGCCAACATCTAAGGTCCAACCCCTAAGCCCTTTGGAGGAAGAGAGTTACTTTAGTCACATCAGAGAATCCACTTACAAAGGAAAGCAACGTCCTCCACTTAAAACAAGATCTGTAGTAAGGAAAAGCTCAAAAGCCAAGTAGATGTCCATTTTGAAAAATCTCAATACGACAACAGTCACCTCCAGGTTAGTTATCCAAATAGCATGGTTGGGATGGAGTATACACAAAAACCCTTCCAAGAGAGTTTGGGCTGCTAATACAATGTCGGAAATGAACGAGCTGTCCGAGCTGTATGAAGAGAGCAATGACCTGCAGATGGATGTGATGCCCAGCGAGGGTGACCTTCCGTAGATGGAGGTAGGTGGCAGTAGCCGGGAGCCATCCCGGAATCCCTCCCGCCACAGGGCCCAGCCACAGCTGGAGAAGGAAGGCCCAATGGAGGAGGAGGTGGCCCAGCCAATGGCAGAGCCGCAGGGGGACCGAGGCCTTGCTCAGGGCCCTGGGGAGCAGCCAGGCCAGCTCGCCGGCCCTGACTTCAAGAGCGAGGACGACGGTGAGGAATTTGATGACTGGGAGGATGACTATGATTATCTGGAAGAGGAGCAACTAAGTGGTGCCGGCTACAGAGTATCAGCGGTCCCGGAAGAAGCCAACAAGATGTTTCTGAGAACATCCAGAGCAAGAGAAGCAGCCCTAGATGGCGGGTTTCAAATGCATTATGAGAAGACCCCGTTTGATCCGTTGGCTTTTATCGAAGAGCTTTTTTTCACTTATGGTTGTCAATCGTCTAACCAAAGAACTCCGCTGTGATGAGATTATTGACAGAGAGTAATTAAATGCTGTTAAAAGAGGAGGAAGCTACTCCAGGACTCAACATTCTACTATCTTATGGGCTCATTCCAGATAGATAGTAACAGTGCCAAGGAAAAAAGCTGATCTTCAAAGAAAATTTTGGGGGCAGCCCTGGTGGCTCAGCGGCGATCCTGGAGACCCTGGATCGAGTCCCACGTCGGGCTCCCTGCATGAAGCCTGCTTCTCCCTCTGCCTCTCTCTCTCTCCTCCCTGTGCATTCTCATGAATAAATAAATAAAATCTTAAAAAAAAAAAAAGAAAAAGAAAATTTTGTTGTTGTGCAGAACAGAATAGGGCAGTGACTGCACAGTTATGAAAAAGAATGAAGAAGAAACATATTAGGACTGTGGAAATCTGTTTTCAAGAATGTTCCTGAAACACCTGCGGCTTAAGACTTTGTTACTGATCCCAATTATTTTCCTTGCATTGGGGAAAATACCTTTCATATTTCACTATAAGGAATGGTTTTGCAAGAATAAGTTATAACCAAGCCAAACTGCCAGTACAAGACCCCCACTGATACCAATTACATGAGAAAAAGTAGTAACATCCAATTTAGGACACAAAATGTCTGAATCATTTGGACTGAAAGCCTACTAAGAGAACTCTGACGATTCCACTTTGTGGTCTGTCCAAGCCAGTGTTCAAAGGCTAAATTTTTAGTGTAAAATAAATTGGGTATTCTTCACTATCCCAAAAAGATAAACCCAAGAAGAAATATATATCATGTGTGATACTTCTCAAAATGTGTTTTCAAGAGCATCTGAAATTTTGTTTGTATGTGTATCTTGATCATTTATAAAGCTACTATGATCTATAATTCAAGAAAATTTGTCTTATCATTTTTAAAATTCAAAAATTAAGACGTCCATAGTTTCAAAGTTAGACATTGAAATGTATGTGAAAGAACAAACTATTTCTGATACTCTTACATACTAGAGAAGTTGTTTTACTTGCTCTCTGTTTTTCATTTAACTTACAGGTGAAGGACTTTGGTTGAATTTCATAATATAAAAACTGTTAAAGTGAAAATGTCAAGTAAAAGGACTGAACAATTAAAGTTTTAAAACTTGCCCAGAAATCTACCTCAGTATCTGAAGTTTCCCTCTGTCTCCTCCTCTAATAAAGCTTGTCATTGGTTATGCACCAGCATTGGGGATAATAAAATTTCTTGTTCGGGGGGGGGGGGGGGAACCCTTCCAACTCTTTAAGGTAACTTATAAACAGTACTCAGGAACATTTTGTCAACAAATAAAGAAAAAACACTGTTTCAAGAGCTTCTGACCTTCTCAGAAGTCAGGTCTTAATGTAAAAATGGACCCAGGTGAAACCTGTCCCAGCTAAGGCACATGCTATGTTCAGGCCAACGCTACTCAACCTCCTCCCCTCTCAGCTGCTCCACTGCAACACTGTACAGAAATCAGCCAGGACCTGTACTGCACTAGCATCTGCATTCTGTCTACTCATCCAAATGGACAGGGGAGCCAACTCCTGGAAAGAGCTGACAGTTGGAAATTGCACTCTGTCTGCCTCAGACATCTTCATAAGCTCAAACGTCACTCACAAGAACCCCTGACAGGGGCTGCTTGGGTGGCTCAGTCAGTTAAGCACTGACTCTTAGATTTTGGTTCAGCTCATGATCTAAGGGTCATAGGAGCCCCACATCAGGCTCTGCGTTCAGCACAGAAGCTTGTCCATCTCCCTTTAACTCCTCCCTCACTCCTTCCCCACCCCTGCTCTCTTGCACTCTGAAATAAATAAAATCTTTAAGGAAAAAACCCTTGCAGGTAGGAAAACAGTCAGAAGTCAAATATGCAAATTCTTCAGTTACCTCATGTCCTTCAATATCAAAGTTATCATGAAATCACCAACCGGTGATCTATACATTTAATAAAGCAGCCTCTCTTGCACCTTAGCATCCAGCACAACAGGTAGCTATTTAACATGCCCTCCTTCCAATCCTAGCCCACGGGAGTTCATGTATTAATCTCATATTTATCAATGCCCAAATCCCCCCTGGGACACTATGTCCAGTACTAGGGATGAAAGAGAAGAGCATGGATCAAAGAAGACAAACATAAATAATACAAGACAATAATATCAGTTGGATATATATACTTAACATCTATTATGTGCTAGTCCAGCAGTTCTCAAAATGTGGTCTCTGGATCCCTAAAAGTCCCCAAGAAACGTTCAGGGGTTCTGCAAGGTCAAAACTATTTGCATTGCAATACTAAGACTTTTTTTTTTTCCTTTTCACTATGTCGATGGCTGCAGTACTGGTGTAAATGCCAGGGGGAGTAAATCTGCTGACACCTTTACACGAAGCCAGATAGTGACACCAAACTGTACCAGTAGTTATTCTAATTCTTCACATCACGCACTCACAAGGGAAGAAAAAAAAAGGTCAGTTTCTCTTAAGAATGCCCTTAATGAAGCAGTAAAGATTATTTTATTAAAGCTCTAGCCCTGAGTGATTATCTTTTTAATATTCTAGGTGAATATTATGAAATGGCAAGTATTTCAATGGTCACCTTGAAGAAAAGCCCCTAAGCAATTATTTGGGTTGTAAGCTAACCTAGCCACTTCTTTCACATTCTAACCTGAAAGAACAAATGATAAACCATGCCAATTCAGGCTTGTGTACCTGTTAATTTTTGAGAAAATATTTGACAAAGGAAGCCTTTAAATTATTTCAAATGCTTAAGGCCTGAGCTTTCTCCAAAACTCAGAATTCTTGAAAACTCTTATCTGCCATCACAACCTTAAAACTTCCCAATATTAAGACTTTTCTGATGAGATCAGTGATGAATCAAATAGAATTTTAGATAAACAGATTAAATATGTCAACATTAAGAAGATCTGCCTAACTTAATAAGCTAGTATTTTCTAAATGATCCAAACATGGTGTTAGAAAATCTTGCATGGGGGAACCCTGGGTGGCTCAGTAGTTTAGCACCTGCCTTCAGCCCAGGGCATGATCCTGGAGTCCCGGGATCGAGTCCCGCATCAGGCTCCCTGCATGGAGCCTGCTTCTCCCTCTGCCTGTATCTCTGCCTCTCTATGTCTCTCATGAATAAATAAATAAAATCTTTAAAAAAAAAATCTTGCATGGGTAAAATATCCACTTTGAGTACAAACTAGATTAATAAATTTTAATGTAACAGAACAAATGGTTTCAGATTCCACACTGTAACTAATCTTTAATAAACTACCACCTGTCAATTTTTGTTACAGTATCAAAGAATATCCACATTATATAAAAAAGACTAAGAAAAATACTTCCAATCCCACAGCTAATATTATATTCAATAGTGAAAGGCTTTCCTCCAAGATCAGAAAAAAGACAATGGTGAAGAAGTAAAAGATCTGTACACTTAGAACTATAGAACGCTTATGAAAGAAATTGAAGAGGATACAAAGAAATGGAAAAGTATTCCATGCTCATGGATTTAAAGAACAAAAATGGTTAAAATATCTATTACTACTGGGGTGCCTGTGTGGCCCAATTGGTTAAGTGTCTGACTCTTGGTTTCAGCCCAGGTCATTATCACATGGGTCATGGGATTCAGCCCCAGGTCAGGTTCCACAATCAGCAAGGACCCTGCTTGAGTCTCTCCCTCTGCCCCTCTGCCCCTCCCCCCACAGGCCCACACATGCTCGCTCACACACTCTCTCTAAAATAAATAAATCTGAGGGTGCCTGGATGGCTCATTCGGTTAAGTATCTGCTTTTGGCTCAAGTCATGATCGCAGGGTCCTGGGATAGAGCCCCATGTTAGGCTCCCAGCTCAGCGGGAGCCTGCTTCTCCCTCTACCCCCTGCTCATGCCCTCTCTCGCATGCTCATCTCATCGTAAGTAAATAAATAAATAAATAAGTAAGTAAATACATAAATACATAAATAAATCAATCAATCTTGGGACACCTGGGTATCTGGGCAGTTGGGCATCTGCCTTCATTCAGCTTGGTGATCCCCACATTGGGCTCCCTGCTCAGCCTGCTTCTCCCTCTCCCTCCCTGCCACTCCTCCAGCTTGTGCTGCCTGCCACTCCTCCAGCTTGTGCTCACACTCTCTCTCCTGTCAAATAAATAAATAAAAATCTCTTCAAAAAAAAAAATAAAAACCCTAAGATTTACATGTAAAAAATAAATAAAATATATTTTTTTAAGATTTTATTTATTTATTCATGAGAGACAGAGAGAGAGAGGCAGAGACACAGGCAGAGGGAGAAGCAGGCTCCATGCAGGGAGCCCGATGCAGGACTCGATCCTGGGACTCCGGGATCACGCCCTGGGCTGAAGGCAGGGGCCAAACTGCTGAGCCACCCAGGAATCCCCAATAAAATCTTAAAAATAAATTAAATGAATATTTTTTTAAATATCTATACTACCCAAAGCAATTTACACATTTAATGCAACCCCTATCAAAATACCACGAGCACTTTTCACAGAGCTAGAATAAGCAATCCTAAAATTTGTATGGAACCACAAAAGACCTCAAATAGCCAAAGCAATCCTGAAAAAGAAAGACAAAATTGGAGGTATCATGATTCTGGATTTCAAACTATATTACAAAGCTTTGGTCATCAAGACAATATGGTACTGGCACAAAAACAGACATAGATCAGGGAACAGAATAGAGAACCCAGAAATGGACTCACAACTGTATGGTCAACTAATCTTAAGACAAAGCAGGAAAGAATATCCAAAGAAAAAAAGAAAGTTTCTTCAACAAAAGGTGTTGGGAAAACTGGACAGTAACATGCAGAAGAATGAAACTGGACCACTTTCTTACATCATACACAAAAATAAATTCAAAATGAATGGAAAACCTTAATATGAGATACGAAACCATCAAAATCCTAAAAGAGAACACAGGCAGCAACCTCTTTGACACAGACCATAGCTACTTCTTACTAGACACGTCACCACAGGCAAGGGAAACAAATGCAAAAAT